ACGTCCGCCCTCGTGTTTTGCTCGCGGGGAACATGAGAAATTTCTGCTCGTACGAACTTTGTCATGTGTTTTTTGACTAAGTTCAAATACTCGATGAGGTTGTCGTTTTTGGCCTGGTAGCTTCCCTGTACTTGAGAGGCGACGAGCTGGGAGTCGGTGTAAATTTGAACCTCGCGGGCTCCCAGGTCCTCGGCTAGTCTCAGTCCTGCGAGCAGGGCTTCGTATTCTGCCTGCTTCGTATTCCCACAGACGGCGCCACTGATCTGACCTGATCAGAAATGGACCGTCACGGCTGGCTCCGAGCAGAAAGCTTTTTGAACGAGGTGGGGGGGTACCTGCAAGGCACTCCGATGCTGAAGTAAGTAGGAGTACGAGCAGATAATAGCAAGTGTAAGGTTAGAATGATGAATACCTGACCCTCTGGAAGCAGAAGGTATTTATAGCCCCCAGCGCTGGGCCAAGGTTCCTTCATTGGGCCGGGCAGGTTTGGCCCAATGGAGGAACTGCCAGGTTCTACGTGCGTAGTGGGGACCCGCACGTGGTCCCCTTCCTGGATGTTCTGCGTGAAGTGCGGGCGGACGGAGACGCGGTCTTTCCGGAGTATCGTTGGGGGAACAGTGGACTGAGTCTGCCCTAGCTGGGGTGCTCGAGGTAACGTCGAGCTGGACCTCAGAATGTGGTGCTGGACCACTGCATGTCGAGCTGGAGGTGTACTGTCGAGCCAGCGACTACGAGTCGGGCACGGTCGTACTCTTTGGTCGGCGTGGCCCTTGTACGTCCATTTGGACTGGGCCTTTGCAATGCTTTTGGGCCTGTCGGGCCCAGTCCAGAACAGTCATGATTCTGAAGGTAGAACTTCAGAAGGTAGAGGTTTTAAAGGCGATTCAACTTCTGAAGATGGTCAAGTATTTGATATTGTTCCAGAATCAAAAAGAGTTTCTGAACAAATTCAGAGGCCACCAAGAATTTGATAAATACCAAGAAGGTTTGCAAAGTTTGACATGTTGTAAGACACTGAAGTAGATTCAGAAGGAGAAATTATTCAGTGTGTCATGTTAGTAGACTTTGAACATGTGAGTATTGAACAAGCTCTCAAGAAGAAAGTATGGTTGAATGCCATGAAATAAGAACTTGAGGCTATATAAAAAAAATAAGACTTGAAAGATGACTAAGCTTCTATATAAGAAGAAAGCCATCAGCGTCAGATGAGTTTTCAAAGTCAAATATAAGTCAGATGTTGGAAAGCACAAAGCAAGGCTAGTGGCTAGAGATTTTCTTCAGAAACCTAGGCTAGATTACTTTGAGGTGTTTGTAGCTAAACATGAAACAATCAGATTGGTGATTGTTTTAGTTGTAAATAAAAATTAACCTCTGATGCATCTGGATGTGAAGTCTGCATTTCTGAACGGTCTATTACAAGAAGAGGTATACGTGTTACAACCTCCTGGATTTGTGAAAAAGAATCGGGAAGGGATGATGTACAAGTTACATAAAGTTCTATATGGATTGAAGCAAGCGCCCAGAGCTTGAAATTTGAAGATTGATTCATTTTTTAAGAAGCAAGGTTTTCAGAAGTGTGAAATGGAATATGGAGTTTATGTGAAACACTTTATAGGCAATATGATTCTAGTATGTCTTTATGTTGATGACATATTGCTAACAGGAAGCTATCCAAAAAGTATAATCAAGTTCAAAGAGGTGTTGATGAATGAGTTTGAGATGACTGATCTGAAAAATATGATATATTTTCTAGGGATGGAAATTCTGTATTCAGAGAAGGGTATCATTTTGCATCAGCTGAAGTATGAACTTGGATTTCTGAAGAGATTTAAACTGCAGAATTGTAAGGCTCTTGTCACACCTTCAGAAACCAATCATAAATTGAATTATGATTATGAGGATGAGGATGTGGATGCTACAACCTTCAAACAGTTAGTTGATTCTCTAAGATATTTGTGTAATATCATATCTGATATTTGTTATGCATTTGGAATAATTAGTAGGTTCATGGGTAAATCTAAGTGGTCTCATTACCAAGTTGTTGTCAGGATTCTAAGGTATATCAAGAAAACTCTGAAATATGGAGTATTATTTCCTTCTGGAAGAAAGACAGACTCAAAGTTGATGAGTTACTCTGATTCTGATTGGTTTGGAGATAGAGTTGATAGAAGAAGTACTTCTGGATACTTGTTTAAGTTTCTGGAAGGTCTTATTTCTTGGTGTTCCCAGAAGCAATCTGTTGTTAGGTCTATCAACGTGTGAAGCTGAGTACATTGCAGGTGTTGTAGCTGCATATCAAATTGTGTGGCTTCTGAATCTATTGCAAGATCTGAAGATCAAGGTAGATAAGCCTCTGAAGCTGGTGATTGATAATAAATCTGCAATCAATCTTGTCAAGAACCTAGTACTACATGGGAGAAGCAAGCATATCGAGATAAAGTATTATTTTTTCAGAAGTCAAGTCCAGAACGAAGTACTAGCAGTTGTACACTGTAACACCTAGAAGCAGCGGGCAAATATTATGACAAAGACAATCAAGATGGATCAATTTCTTCGCTTAAGGAATGAAATTAGTGTTGTTAGTTTTAATTAGAAATCCTAAATTAAGGGATGGTAGTAAAGGGTATTTTAGTATTTCTAATTGTTTTTGATAACTTAGTTATTAAGCCTATTCTATTAGAGCCTATCTGACATTCTCTTTTGTATATAAATAGACTAGTTGTAAATGTCATAAATACAACAACAACATTATTCCTCTTGTAGCTTTTACAGCCATCATTCTCTTTACTCTCATAAATACATTCCTTTTGTTCATCATCACCTTGTGCACCAACAGTAAACACACAACCAAACCCCTAAATAAGTTCAACACCATTTAGCTCAAAAAAGGTTTACTGAGTAGTCAGAATTGCCTGTAGATAATTTATTTTGTGCATCGGAGATGACTTGAGTAAATAATGAGAAAAAAACTAGCCAAAATGGTGCAATTAAAAGTGATTTTGTAATACCAATCGTTAGTTGGTTCAGTTGGATGATTGACGCTAGACTTGGTAGGGAGGAACACGGTTCGATCTCTCACAAATGCGATTAGGAGGGGACTGAAATCACAGATCAATTTCTTCGCTTAATGAATGGAATTGACGTTGTTAGTTTTCTAATTGTTTTTGGTAACTTAGTTATTACGTCTATTCTATTAGGGTCTATGTGACATTCTCTTTTGTATATAAATATAATAGTTGTAAATGTCATACCCTTTGTAAATGATTATTATTACTTTTTAAATAATAATTATTTTTTTCTATAATACCCTTAACTTTTTAATAATTTATTTAACTTTTTCTCTTTATAATAATAATTATGGGTAATTTTGACAAAACTACCATCAATACTATCTTAAACTTTAAAATGTAACACTTAATAAAAAAAAATTCTAAAAAGTAACACTTAAAAAAGGAACCGAAGGAGTATTTAAGATTAAAGAAACAACATGGGTTTACAAGTTCGTTAGGTGGAATGTGTAACATTTAATCTATGCCTTCTAGGCTTTATGCTCCCTTGTCATTGTTAATTTATGTCAAAATGACAACATGCCCTCCGAGCTTAAAAGTCCATTCACTTATGTTTTTGTTATTCTTTTTCTTAACATTGTAAGTTGAACCCTCTGCCTCTCCTCTCTCTCCCAAAATAAGAAACCCAAGCAACAGCAACAACAATCAAGCCTTAGGCGGTATAAGCTACATAGATCAAACAGTGATATAACATTTTATCTTGGATAAAATATGCGGCGAAATTGACACTCAAGTATTTCCTAATAGTTTCTCCTATAGTTTTACTTGGCTTGCCACCTTCATCTGATATACTCTCCAAGTCTCCTTAATAAGGAATCTACATGTCTCCCAAACCACCTAACTTGAGATTCAACCACCAGTTCTACAACAAGAAGAAAACCAAGAATAATATATTTTTGGCTTCCTTCTTTTCTTCCCCTCTCTACTAGTAAAGTTAGTAGAGAAAACTTACGCCTTACTATCTTGATAAACTACAAAATTTTAGGCATTATATATTTATATGGAGTTCTAGGAAGTTAAATGAAAGTTGATTGCTTAATGTGTCTGGATGAACTTGTTTAAGGTGTTAACAGATAACTCAACACACACCCATGAAGTAATGTTGTGATGGTGATTATTCGTGTAAGATCAAGTTCAAAATTCACATAAGTCACAACTCCAAATAAACAGTGAACTCTCATGCTTAAAGCAATGTAGTACTAGTGTGTAGAATATACAAATACAAATAAGCACAAACAATGATGTTTTACAGTTCAATCTGCAATCTGTTTTCTCTTTTCCTAACCTGGTGATGACCTTGGTTACTTTCAATTAAAAATTGACAGTAACCACGCAATTGAACAAAATATTGACCAGCAATTACAAGAGTTTTTATGTGTAAAGGTACAGTAAATACCAAGTATGTTTATATCAGTTATGACCAGAACTAAAAATGGAAATGCTACTGACTATTTCCACACATGTAAGCATGTTTTGGAATTGTAAATGTAACATATGGCTGAGCTTAGCGTTGGTAGTCACATTTTTTTGCACCAACAATTCAATCATGTTTAACACAGTAGTAGAAAGATTGACGTTTTAATTAGCTATTATCATAGTCAAAATATTTTGATGTGCACTATTTTAATGATAGTGTAGACATTTTATTAACAATTAGTGGATCAAATCTAAACACTATAACTTAACATTGATAAGAACAAATGAACAATGAATTCTGGATTACAGTGCCAATAGCAAGCATTGATAGTCAAAATGAAATAATAAAACATCAACAATGTTGATGAACTGTTCAAATATACATAATATGTAGCAAAGCACAATCATAAACTAACTTATTATGCATTAGCTAAAGCATATATCCGGAAGTTATAACACAGCTAAAAACAGAGTGATAACAAATACCTCTACACATTATTGTTTCACTAAAATTCTTCATGTGAATCCGGAGAAGTCCTTTGGTGGTTCAATCCATATGCTTTCAAAAGGGTCTTGTTCACCCCAGTCATGCCACTGCTTACGAGGATAGTATCGATAGTCATCAAGAGAGAATGATACACAACGCTTTCCATAAAAACGAACTTTAGAAAAGTAGATACTGTTCCTCATTATTCCAGAGAGGTCAGTCCTTGAATGAGAAGACAAGAAACTAGCAAAAAGAGTTGCTCCATCTAGTGTTTTTAGCTCTTCCCATTCCATTAATGTCTGATCTAATTTGAAAATAATAGGGTTTTCACTAGAACATGTATAAATTACTATAACATCTCCTTCTTGCTCGGTCATAAATTTCCCCTTCCACCAATTTTTGGCAAAAAAATTCTCTGGGCATTTGGGTGGTGGTACTGATAGAACACTCCAAGTCCGTTCAGATGGATCAAATACTCCTAGCCAACCTGTTAAACTCAGGCAATAAAAAAGTCCATTACAAAACACAAGCTTATTCCATATGCTACTGACAAAGGGCAAGCGGTTTTGGTAATTAACAGTGGTCCACTCAGTTGCCCCAGGGTGACATGTGCTGATGGCGACAACAGTAGGACTAACATGCTTAACAGTGAACAGCACGCAGTCAGGTGATGTTGGAGCACAAGAGAAAGCAACTATCTGGTATGTCATCTCAAATCTTGGCATTTTGATAACCTCCCGAGTAAAGGGATTAAAGAAAAACACTCGGTCCGTTCTTGGCCGGTATAGCAGTAACCAACCATCCTTTGTATAACAAACTCTAGATCCATTCAGCTCTGAAAACTCCAGAGAATAAGTCTTCCGCTGCACAGGATCATAGAATTCATAGCACTGACCAAATTTCGGAAAATACATTAACCACGGTGATTGGTTAACCACACGTACAGCATTGGCAACAGAATTCCAACTCTTGCAAACCACTGACGCACGAACATTGTCGTCCAGGGCTAAACTACACATGATTATTTCTAAAAGCTCCGCAGGGAGATCAGACCATGTTTGCAACTCCAAATAATCATTTTTCACCTCTGTTGCTCCTCTTTTGCTGTTTGCGATAGTATCACTTAACCTAAATAATCAGAGATGCATGTAAGAGTTCTGCTGAACAAATCCTATGAAACACATACACCAGAAACACAACACCACACCACCCTAACACGTCGACACCAGTAATTATTTAAATACGTGTAATATACTACGATTACAATTAAACACATCATGATTAAATTAAACTAAAAAGAAATCATGCATCACAATTTCAACAAAGTTGTATAACATCTGATCTCACTAATTTGATACATAAACCCTAATGCAATCAATGTGATAAATTAAATTAGCAGCGAACTTGTTGAATTATGTGAAATTCAGAGTTCAGATTCAACAATTAGACATGAAAACAATAAAACCCATCAATCCATGCAGAGATCCAACATTGAAAACCAAATATACTGTGATTAATTGAAAAAAATAAAAGTAAATTATGAATTAACGATGAAAATTCGCGATTGGATTCGAGAGATAAGTGACTTACAGTTTCAACTTCCTCCTCTTTTTCCCTGACATTAATCGAAATTTTCTCTCAGACGAAGTCGCGTTTTTGTTCTAGAGAGAGAGAGGGGAATTGAGGGAGAAGAGAGAGAGGAAGTGGAAAGTGTGTCAACAAGAGATGAAAGAAATAAAATCACGTTGATATATTAATGAATCAAGTTGAGTGACGGCACTCGCACGTGCGAGGCGGCTACGCCTTACTTACATGTACACGAAAAACGTGTGAACTCTTCTACATGGACACGATGTATGTATATATATCTATCTATCCTACTACCATACAGCCATAATCCACGTGAACATCACGTGCTCTCACCCTACCACTTTTTATTTCTTTCTTAAATAGTTAGTGCATAGATAATGATTATTAATTACATATAATTTGATAATTATTATTATTAATAGATAAGCAGGAACGGTAATATATCACAATCTAACTGAATCAACAATATTATTTATTATAGTTGTGGGTGTCATATATCAATACACAAAATAATTGATTATTAATAAAGTTAAAAGTTTAATTGAAGTGTTAAGTTGATAATTATGTTGGGATATTCGATTCTAAGAGTGTGGATTCAAATCAGCGATATCTCACTTATTTAAGGATAAGAATAGATTAGATTGGTCTAAGCTTGGTCTGATCTAACCTATTTAATAAAAAAAGTTAGACTAAGTTTTTTTTAAAAATTATTTGTATTTGTAAAAATGTATATAATTCGAGACATCTCTATATTGGTAGGTGTTGTACCCCAAAATTTACTATCTCATTTATCAAATATTTTCTCACAAGATCTCTTTGGGTTCAAGACTGCACAAGGGTTGATCAGCTTAAGACATCTCCTTAAACACTGATGACTGAAGTTAGGATTTGAGATTGCACAAGGATAATTGAACTTTTAATGCCTCATATGACTTTCATGAATCATTATGGCCCCCCAAGATTGCTCATGTCAAGTTTCAAATCTTGGATCACATTTTTGCTCAATCGATTGACCAGTTGACCTAAAAATCAGTTGTATTGGGAAAAAAGTCAATTATGGCTAATTTACAGTCAAACTTCATAATTTTCTATCCATATCAACATTATAAACTCATATGTATCATTTGATCAAGTTTGGACCGCAATTCCTCAAGAAATTTGATCAGATCATCAAAAGGGCAAAATGGTCAAAATTAGGGTTTTGACTGAGAAAGGGCAATTTCTGATTTTTGACCTAGAAAATGGTTAATTGGTTGGAGACATGATATCAAGAGTTTAATTGCATAATTTTGGCCTAATGGCATGACTCAAAACATCCCTCAAGATAAATTGATTGATAGTTGATTTTTAGTCAATTGATCAGAAGTCAATTGTACACTGAAAAGTCAAACTTTGACTTTTTGGTCAAAATCAAGTGTCAAAGATCACAATTCATCAAAACATGTCAAAATATGAAACTTGTTCATCAAGAAATCAAAAAGTCAAGATTTCATTTTGAAAAGTCAAAGTTTTCAAACTTAGAAATTTTTCTAAGTGTTGAACACTTCATATTTTTTCACAACTTTAAGCCAATTTTTCACCATGATGCAAGATGATTCAAAAGAAACTTTCAACATGAAAGTTGTAGATCTCGATGATATCTAAAATATTTCTTTACACAACTTCTCCTATAAATGCTTGGATCTCAAGTTATTAATCTATGAAGTCATGGTCATGAAACTAAAACACTTAGTGAAATTTTGAACATTTTTGGTCAGGATTTTGACCTAACTTCTGACCCAAGTTTCACATAATTCCATTTGGATTTTGCAAAAGTGATTCAAAGAGGGGTTGTAGAGCACATTACAAGCTTTCCAAAATGTCCAAGAAATCCTTGAGATCATTTGTGAGCAAGGAGAATCGAAGGTCAGAAGTTGAGATTTTAAGTTGTTTTGCAAGGCAAAATTTGTGATGAACAAGAATTTAAATCTCAAGCCTATGCTGCACAATCTTGCTTTGCAGGCCTCTAAACCTCAAAATCTCTCCCTAATCAGAAGATTACACTTGCTTTTGAGCTATTATCCATTTGATTCAAGCTTTATCCAAGATAATTTTCCATTAATGGCACAAAGGCACCATTGCCATTTACATAAAGCAAGTTTTACGCAAAGTCAACTTGCATTGAGCTTTGCACTTGTTCCTTCTGCACAAACTTCCTCTACAAAGTCAGATAAGCATGTTTAAAGTTGGTAACTACTCTAGATATCTTTTTACTATGCATTGAAACCATGTTTGTCAACCTTACTTCAAAAACAAGCCAAGAAGCCAAAACATGCGATCTTGTACTTCTGACCACCTCAAGTATCCAAACCTTTTCCATACATATACACAAGTTGTTTGCAAGAAAATACACGTATACACAAGCCCTAAAACACACAAGAACTCAGAACTGAATCAAAAATCACCATTGTTGCACATTCTGACCAAAAACTTGAAACTCACATCTCCCTCGTGTGTTTTCAAGCCTTTTGGTTCCTAAAGCTTCTAAACATAAAATACAACTCATCCCTGACCCTGTTACACGACTGTAACACCATTTGCACCATCTTCCATTTTCAAAAACAGAGCTTTGCACTTGGACTTCTCCAGCACGATTCAGCCATCTCCAGACAAACTAAACATTGCATTAGCATCCTAGAGGGTCACTGAAGCTATTCTGATCATCACAACACCTTGAGAAGTGCTCAAACTCAGAATACGATTTCCAGTTTTGAGGTAAGTTTCCTTAACTTTGACTCTCTCTACAAGCACCATTATTGATTCATTTGTGAAGATAAAGTGTAGACCTTATTGCCCTGAAGCTGTACATATCCTTAATTTTCATTTACATGGCTTGAGCTTAGAGAATTTTAAGTTTGAAGTTTCTGAAAAAATTAGGGTTCAAATTAGGGTCAGAGAAATTCTCATTCATTTTTTTATCTATAGCTTTAGTTGTTTACATGGTTAGATTCGTGAGGAAAAATAACACAACTTTCATGTTTGCATTTTCCATTTTTGTTGAGAAATGAATGAGATACAGGTGGTCTGGCTGGCTGAAGGTTGAAGACGAATTACAGGTCATGGAGACGTTTTACATTATGTATTTATTCTTTCAATTAAGTTAACGGATGTACAGCCACCTCAGTGGTAAGGCAGCGCGCGTTATTGGTAGAGGTCACGGGTTCGAACCTCAGCGCTGCCTTTTGCATTTTCTACATTTTTTTGTCATTTTTCCTTTCAGGTAGCGCTTGGGCCAGCAGAACCTTGGGTCTGACTTTTTTTTCTTAACATTACCCCATGTTTCACTTTCTAACCTCCCCTGACTTTAATTTTTTTTTCTTTATTATTATTATTATTTTTTTTTAATTTTTATTACTATTATTATTATTATCTTTATCAATAAAAATCCAAAAATATTTATATGTTATTATTTATATTTATTTATTTTATTTTTCTTCATAAATACTAAAAGAACAAAAAATATTTCCTTTAATAAATTAATTTACTTTTTTAAAATACTCAGATAATTAGTTTTAATCATTATATTATTACATTTTTTTATTATAAATTAAAATCAATTTAGTACTTAGGACTTTTATTTAATTAATTTTATTTGTTAATTTAATTAAATTCATAAAAACCCTAAAAATTTTGTTTTCTTTTATAAATTAACTTCTTTTATTAACTTAGTTTTAATTTTCTTATTCTATTAAATTATTTTATTTTAATTTAATTAGGCCAAAACTTTTAAATACAAAAAAATCCACTCCTTTACCTTTTCATACTTGTACATTATATTTATTCAAATTCAATATGGTTGTAATAGATAATTAGAGTTTTAATTTCTTGCAATTCCCCATTCATAAACTTGTACCCCCATCCCTTAAAGCATTGTAATAGCGTAAGACATTTAAATTCCGTAATTTAATGCTTTATATACAAATGCTAGTAATTAGAGTTTGTATGGAAAGATAAAATCAAATCTTAGAAAACCCTAATCAAGACAAATCAAGCATGTAAACCAATACCCTTGCATACTTACACCCTTAGGGTAAACCCATTTTGTTGCCTTACAAAAATGGCCATATTATGGATGTGAGGTATCTTAGCAAAAACAAATCAAAATACAAGATCATGGTCCCTCGATGATGCTATCAAAGTTGCCTTTCAAAAATGATCTCAGTCCCTTAAAGAAAATGCTAAGATATCTTACAACATTGCTAATCATGGCTATACGATGACCCTTTTCCGTCCCTTTTACATCCAAAGATAGGCTTTCTTACCAAATCGATGGTAAGATAACAATGTCAAAGGAAAGAGGAAATAAACATGAAATACTTTTGAGTAGGTAGATTGTTCCTAGTTGCTTGCCCAATTTCAAAACCAAAACATCCTTTCTATTTTCAAAACAAACACACACTTTCAAAAACATCTTTCAAACTTGAAAACATTTCAAAGGATCAACACTTTGTATACATTCTTACGAACGATAATCATTACAAAGTTTGCCTAAACGATGGAGCCTTTTCAAAATACTTCCAAAAACCACACAAAGAACATTTTCAAATAAAAGCAAGTGATCTAGCAAGCAACTAAGAGTCCATGGAAAACCATGGATGAAAATGGTGTCAATACCTTCCCTTTCCATAATCTACCCCTCGAACTCAAGAAAACATTTCAAAGATCTTTCCTGTTCTTTTCAGCCTTTCCTTTTGGATAAAAGAAAAGTCGGTGGCGACTCTTGCTAACTGCAACATTTGCGATCAAACGCAAAACAACCAAGTAAGTCCTCCCACCGTGTTACAGAACTGGCAACTCTGCTGGGGAAATTTTAAAAGTGGGGTTACCTTAGGGTTATATCACATTTATTTGCTTTCATTGTTTAACTTTTATGTTTTACATTTTGGTTCTTTGTTTGGATTTAAATCATCTACCCGGATTTGTGATACCTTATAGGTAAGTAGCAATACATTGTGGAAAATGTGTGGGGTATACCGACATGGTCTAAGCAATA